GAGTCTTTGCGTGAGGACGTCAAAGACAGAGAGGCAATTGAAGCTTTCTGGTCAGGGCTACCCCCTGATGTTAGCTGAAGGCCTCTCTGCCCCCTAACGACCTCCGACCACCTGCACAGGTGTAGACAAAAGACCATCTATCTATATATCTTTCTAATATAAAAATCTGGTGATGCAGCAGCCACTTAAAAGTCATTAGGACGGTCGCCAGTCTCTCAAACCTGCGGGAAGGCCTGTGCTGGGGGCCAAGTGGAATCCCCTGAAATTTTAATTTCAGGCACGTTCCCTTGGAAACCATCACTTCACCCTACTTTTTCTATCTGAACACTGCTAGAAAAAATCCCCAAAGTTCCAGGGATCTTCACGTAAGCCTTGGAGTCAGTTTCTAACGTAAACTTCCCTAATTGCTTTTGTCATCCTGCCCCCAGGCACTCAAGCCGCAGCTAAAACCAGTTAAGTGAGAATTTAAATTAACTAGCCCCTGCAGAGCACCTGGGAGTTCAAGGTGACTTGCGGCCAGAACAAAAGATTTAAAAGTGACATTTTTTTCTGCAGTCTGAGGCTTGTAACTTGTAAGAGCGTTCCAACCCCCTAGTGTCAGACTGCTGCAAAAACATCTTCCCTTTATAATGGGAAATTCCACATCATGCCAGAAAAAACTCCAAATTCGTTCCCTTAAAGCCCTGCTTGAATCTAGAGGACTTAAGATTTCCAAAAACAGAAAGCTCAAAATTTTGGAACAAACTTTATCAATTTGCACCCTGGATCCTATCAGCAGACATTTCGGATCCAGAGGTCTGCCCTAACATTACATATCTGGCTCATAAAAAAGAAATCCAGGAAAAGCATAATTTCCCTCTTTCCTTTTTCTCCATAATAGCAGCCATCCAACAATGCTTAGGACAAGTGTCAGAAGGTTCAAATGATAAAAAAGACCCTAAAAATTGCCCAGTAGCGGATTCAACAGAAGTCAGACAAAACCTACTCATCAGCAAAATTAATCTTTACCCCCCTCTTGCTGATTTAACAAGCCCAGATATTAACGCCCAGACTTCAAAAGCTCCAAAAGATCCTCAGATAAATTCCCCTCCCCCTTCACCTCAGCTACCGCCACACCTTGTGGCTCCGCCACCGCCTGTGGCGCCATTCCAGCCATGCCTTACAGCCACAGAGGAACTGTGTAATCTTAGAGATAGTGGAAGTTTCCAGCCTCAATGGCCTCAGGACCCCCAAATCCCACCAGTAGAGGCTTTTCCTGTTAACTTACAAATAACAAGGCAACACCCACTAGCCTGGTACCCGCTCCCAGCAGCAGAACTTAAAGAATTATGCCAGGTTGTCCGTGAGGATGGAATTCATGCTCCATGGACAAAATCTATACTACAAACATTTAATACTAATCTGCTTACACCCCAGGACTGGAGGGATATCTGTAGATCTACCCTCCCCAGTCCATTATTTGTACAATGGGAAGCCTTATTTAGAGATGAGTGCCTAATGCAGGCTAAAAGAAATGACACTCATAATCAACAGCTAAGACCCCAACAAGGACAGGATCCACCACCTGGATTCACAGATTGGAACTATGACGAGCTTTTTGGTCAGGGCAACTTCTCCACAGCAATCCAGCAGGCTGCAATTCTGCTGGCTGTTTTGAGCAAGTCCACTTATGTGCATTACAGGCCTGGGACCACCTAACCCCCTTGTCCACTGGGCCTGGAGAAACTTCTTCATTAACCTTTTTAAAACAAAAGCCAACTGAGGCTCTCCCAGACTTTATACTAAGAGTGCAGGCCAGTTTAGATAGAAAAATAACAGATCCTGCAGCCAAAGCAATGCTTTTAAACAACCTTGTCTGGGAAGGGATGACCCCTGAGCACAGACAAGCATGCCAGGGACTAAAGAATGAACATTATGATAAGTGGATTGTGGCCACCCATGACATTGGGAGTGCCACGTACCAGGCTTACTCCCTTGCCCAAGCCCTTATAGCCACAACTCTGACCAACTCAAAATGCTTTAAATGTAGAGAAACTGGACACTGGATAAAAAATTGCCCCCAAATAACTCAGCTGCCACTCGACTCCCTAAAACCCTCTGTCCCCACTGTAAAAAAGTCTTTCACTGGAAAAAGGATTGTAGATCTAAAAATGATAGAGATGGCAAGCCTTTGCCACCTTTAAACTCCATCATGGGCAGCCGTCAGCCCCACTAACAAGAGGGAAGCCACAAACATTGTGGGTAACCAGTATTACAGAAAATGCCCTTCCAAAATTAACCATAAAAATAGACAGTAAACATTTCAAATGCCTCCTTGACACTGGGGCTGATAGAACCATCTTAAGGCAATCTGAGGTTCCCCCACACTGGGAATTAATACCAGGACCCCACTAGTTGGAGTAGGGGGGGCCTCCCAAGCATTTATCACTAAAAATTCCTATAAATAGGAGGACCCTGATGCAGAGTTTGGAACAATAAGACCCCTAATTGCAGACATTGCTACAAACCTCCTAGGGCGAGATATCTTAGAAGACCTCAATGTAATTCTTACTAGTGGGTCTAAAGAAAAATGCCTTAAAATAGATGATCAGATAGGGTCCCTAAAACAACAGGACCCCCAATTCTAAGGGCCACTGTGGATTACCATACTCCCTGCCTTGATTTGACCAACAAAGAACCAATCTGGGTGGAACACTTGCCATTACCCAGGGAGAAATTACTCATTTTACAACAACTTGTGAAAGAACAGCTACAGCTGGGTCACATTAGGCCCTCCAGGAGACCATGGAACACCCCAGTCTTTGTAATAAAGAAAAAGACAGGGACATGGAGACTGCTGCAGGACCTCAGAGCCATAAATACAACCATGAAAATATGGGGATCACCCCAAAGATACCTACCCATGGTCTCTGCCATCCCTCTTAATACTCCCCTGTTAGTCCTAGATATAAAAGACTGCTTCTTCTCCATCCGTTTACACAGTAATGATTTCCAACATTTTGCCTTCTCAGTTCCAAAAATTAACAATTCTGGGCCAGCTGATTGATATGAATGGTGAGTTCTGCCACAGGGTATGGCAAATAGCCCTACAATATGCCAGGAGGCTGTTGCAAATGCACTAGCACCCCTCTTAAAAAAGGGGCTACATGTTTATCATTACATGGATGACCTCTTGGTCTGGCAAGAAGAGGATTCCTCTCTAGAAGACCTAAAAGATGCTATGATAAACACCCTAATGACAAAAGGTTTTGTAATAGCAAAAAATAAAATACAATCAGTCCCCCCCATTACCTTCCTGGGGACTGAAATAACACCCACTACTGTTAGGCCCCTCAAACCTGTCCTAGAAGTCCCCTATCCACTCACACTTAACTCATTTCAAAGTTTTCTAGGTAATATTAATTGGCTAAGGCCATGGCTTTCCATCCCCACAAGTCAATTACAGCCACTCTTTGATCTCTTAAAGGGAGACAAAACCCCATCCTCCAGACGGTATCTAAACCCAGATGCAAAAAAGGCTCTCCAAGTAATAAATAGCCACTTCCAAAAGGCATCACTAGCCAGATATGACCCCAAGCTACCTGTCCAACTCTTAATATTTAATTCCTCCCCGACCATGGTAGGAGCAATTCATCAGCCTCACGGAGTACTAGAATGGCTTCACACGCCAGTAGGTGGCACTCCTCGCTTTCTAACAGAAGTGGATACTCTCGCCTCCATGGTCTGACAAGGGAGAGATAAGGTCAT